TACAGAAAGACAAGATGTATCGTCAGATGTATAGTCAGGTATCAACAAAATAAACACATGGACAGCTTTCTGACTAGCTCTAGGAGAAAAACATCAGGAAGGAGTTACTGAGTTTTACATCGAAGGAAAGTAGATTTCCTTCCACTGAAGGGAAAAGAAAATGACTTCCTCTTTCCAATGGTGGGGGTAAGTTCTTCAAACTAACTTTCATCTTGCTAATCTATACATAATAATTTATACTCAAAAGAGACTGAATGGATGTTCAAATAAGTATTAAGTGGTACTTCACACCGATTCATTTTTTTTTAATTGAATTCCCATGAGATACACAGTTATAAACTTATTCATGGTTGGAATTCAGTCATACAATGCTCCAACACCATTCCTTTCAACAGTGTACATTTCCCACTGCCAGTGTCCCCAGCTTCCCTCCCACCACCCCAACTAACTCCTCTCTCTACCCCCTCCCACCCCTGCCCAACCTGCCCAGGCACTTCTCCTGCCCCTCGCTCTCTCACTCTCACTCTTTCTCTTTCCTTTTGGGCAGTATGGTTTGAAATGCAGGTATCCCTTTACCTACTTTCAGCACTCAGTTCTTGTCCAGAGTGATCTTTTTCCAGCTATCACTGTCATGGTACAATCCTATTTAGAAGAGCATCTCAAATTAAATGGATTTTCCTGAAGATTATGGAACATATTGTAAAAACAGCATATAGTTTTCTATATAATAATTCTTTTCCTGTTGAAAGATATCTTATAATGTTATCATTATATATAATGATAACATAATGATAACATTTATGTATAATGATAACATCATAATGTTATCAATATGTATATGGGAATAATACCTAATCATTCTTGACCTACACCTTTTCAAAGCAATAGATTATAATTCAACTTACATTATTTTTAAAAGATTGGTAAAAAGAACAATGTACCTGAGCACCACCAGGAGCAATTTCTGAGTGCAAAGCTAGGAGTAACCCCTAAGCATCACCGGGTGTGACCAAAAAAAAAAAAAAAAGGAACAATGTGGTTTTTATTCATAGTCCCTATCAATAAATTGGTGCTGAGAAGTGTTAATTCAGTTACCTTCATTTTTACAAAGAAAATTATTGCACAGTAACTACTTAATAATATGTACAATAAATAGTTCTTACAGATAATCCTGTGTGTGTGTGTGCATGTGTGTATGTGTATGTTTAGGAAAGCATTCTAAATATTTCAATTAGTCAATGCAGTTTTTTAGAATCACGTCCTTGAATAAGCAAATTACAAAAATTGAAATAAGGAAACAATATTTATTAAATCAGCATGTATTGTGTAGCTAGCAGCCTACGATTTAGCAATATTTTATCCCAACAACTAATTATGTAGGAGGTGCTAAATTTAAAGTGTTCCTAACTTGGAAGAATAGACTAATAAATGTGCTCTTCTATAAAATTAGACACAAAATGGCATTTGTAAAAGATTGATTTATTTTCAACTTTTTTTATATTGTTGAAAATCAGACTGAAAAATATGGTAATTCAAAGTAAAAAACAAGAGTATGAACTTTTAAAAGACCACTGATAAATATGATGGTATGGCTTTCCCTTATAATTTGCTCCTCCTTATTTCTGTTAGAACTCTAAACTTGTCAACCAACTCCTCCCCAAAAATAAGGAAAATTATTTTTTCTTAAATAAAAACACTGCATACCATAAGCCACATATTAAGTAGATTCCTGCAAAATTAAAAAGAGTAATCATTATATCTAACCTTCCATGATACTTCATAAAATACACATCAATAGGGAATTCAGGAAAAGCAAAACTAAGCAATAATCACATAAACCTTCTGTATAGCAATTCTAAGTAGCCTAAATTCAATAATGGGGGAGAGTCTAGAGTCGAAGGGCATGTGATCAACCCTAGACTTTACTCCTGAGTGTTTCAGAGAAACTACTTCACTATAACTAAGTCTTCATTTTCCCATCTGCAAACATGAGGATATTATTACCTGCCTTACTGGACTGCTGAAATACAACCAGGCAAAGAACATCTGTAAGCTGTAAAGGTCTAATTATAGAGTATAATACATGCTTATAAGAGTATAAGTAATTATATACTTACTACTCTATACCTCCTTGCCTTCTTAAACCGAATACATTGGGCATAACTTAATTTACGACTATACTTTTAAATAAGAATTATGTGCTAAACTGGAAGATTGTAAGAAAAGTAAGTGCAGGGTGTCCCAGGGAAATGCTAAAAAGTGTGGGAAGCCCTGCAGTATTAAGAACATGTGAGTAAAGGACAAACAGAGGAAGAGTAGGTCTTTATTTCTTCCATTAGAGTTATCATTAGTGACCGTAATTTGGAGGTTGGGTGTAATGATGGAAGCAAAGCCATAATGGAGTAGAATGAAAAGGAAATGGGGGTGAGAGAGAGCAGCAGAGGGGTAGGGTGCTTGCCTGCATGGTTCTCTGAGAGAGAGGGAAGTGGGAGAGGGGAGAGGAGAGAGGGAGAGGATAAAGTAAGTGCCAAGTCCTGGATTCCATCTCTAACCTTGTGTTACACCCTCTAGAACTATCAGGTATTGCTCTGGTGACCCCAGTACCACCTGGAGTAGCCCTGCTCTCCCATATCATTACATTTCTGCACTGTAGCACTGTTCTCCTGTTGTTCATCAATTTGCTCAAGCAGACACCAGTAACGTCTCCACTGTGAGACTTGTTACTGTTTTTGGCATACTGAATTACTCCACAGAGAGCTTCCCAGGCTCTTCCATGCGAGTGGGATAGTCTCGGTAGTTTGCCGGGTTCTCTGAGAGGGGCGGAAGAATCGAATCCGGGTCGACTGTGTGCAAGGCAAACTCCCTACCCACTGTGTTATTGCTCCAGCCCACATTTCTGCACTAGCCCCAACAGTAACAAGACAGGGGGGTGGAGAGACAATGTAGGGGTTAAGGCACTTGTCTTATATGCATCTGATCCTGGTTTTATCCCCTGCACCATACATGATCCCCAGTACACTGCCAGGAGTGATCTCTGAGCACTGAATCAAGAATAGCCCCTGAGCACCGTGGGTTGTGTCCCTGAAAACTATAAGTTAATTAACTAATTAATAAAGAGCTGAACACAGGAAATAAAAGGAAATTTTATTATATTTACCCAAAACACTATGAGGACAGACTAAAGGAACAAGAAAATGGAAAAAATAAAAAAAGATTACAGATTTAATTAAATCATTTTCAAAAGTGACAGCAAATATAAATGGACTAGGGTTGTATACTTTTAAAAATGTGCATTAAAATAAATTTATTATTTATCATCAGTTAATGCTTGATTTTTACATATGTTTTATATACTTATATTTCCAAGGTCACAAAAATTTCTCAGGTGAAAAGATCATGAGTGGAAAAAATTTCAGATCGAAACCTAGTGAATGCACTTCTCCAGTTTCATCTCTCAATTAACAGACAAACATGGGAACTAGATAGTACAGCAGTCAGGACTTTTGCCTTGCACACTGCATGCATGCATGATGTGTTCAAATATCAGCTTTCCACATGGTATCCTGAACCGCACAAGGGGCATCCTTGAGCATCAAGCCAGAGGTAAGGCCTGAGTACTGCCGAGTATAGCCCCCAAACAAACAAAAAAAAATAATAAACCAAAAAAAAAATGAATGGAGGAACTATAATGATACAGTAATAGGAAATTTTGCAATAAAATGTACTTACTTTTTTCTTTTTAATTTTTTGTGTGGTGCAAGAGATTGAACCTATGTCTCATGCATGCAAGACATGCATAGTAGCTGTAACATACAGTTACAGATCTACAAAAATCAATCTTCAGTCATTGATTTTTTTTCCTGAAAAATTTATTAAAAATACAGAGACAGAAGAGGCTGGAGAGATAGTACAGCTATATAGGCTATATAGGCAATTGCCATGCTATATAGGCAACTACCATGCAGGCAGCCTACAGGTTTGATCCCACCAGGAGTGATCCATGAGCACAGAGCCGAGAGTAAGCCTCAAGGAAAGCTGGCTATGTGCACACATCCAAAAATAAAATCCATAAACAGGAGACATTTTATTAGCATTAATTCAACAGAGGGTAGGGCGTTTGCCTTGCACGCAGCCAACATGGCCGACCCGAGTTCGATTCCTCCGCCCCTCTCGGAGAGCCCGGCAAGCTACCGAGAGTATTCGATATGCCAGACACAGTAACAACAAAGTCTCCGATGGAGACGTTACTGGGCCCGCTCGAGCAAATCGATGATCAACGGGAGGGCCTTTACTTTACCTTTACTTTACTTTACCTAGACCAGGAATATAATACATTCCAACAATTAAATGTATGTTTTTCTCATAGATCTCCCTGATTCAAAACTAGAGAAACTAGAGCTAAATAAAGAACATATAGTCCTTTTCTCTTTTTGCACACTGAGTTAATTGGAGACCACTATAAAATTAGTGATAACTTTAAAAAAAAAACAGGTTGAAAAGAAATAACAGCTCCAGAAGATACTATATAAATATTGCAGCTCATTTTAAAGTAAAGGTAAAGTAGAATGCCAGTATTTTGTGAAAAATCAAGTGTAGAAAAGAAATCAGCATTATTCAATAGAAATAGAATGTGAACACAACTTCACATGCAATGTTAAAGTATTAAGACATTCAAAGTATGTTTATTATATGTGTAAATACATGCACACAGAAGAAAATAATTTGTCAAATTGTGAGTTAGTGGTAGAATTAGGATTCAAACTCAATCAGCGTGAGCCAGATCTCCCACTTTAGTCATTTCACCTTAAGCGCCATCTTATTCCACCACACCGAAAAATTAACAGTATCATTAAAACTTTCAACTAATCGAATTAATGCCTGGCTTCCTGCTTTGGTATCATGTATTCATTTCATGTTAATATAAATTTCTGGTCACATATGAAAACGGATTCTTCCCCCTTCTTCCCTCCACTGATTGGAATATGGAAGAAAAGACTTACCATCAATATGAGTTTTTGATATTTTTGTTTTAGGTCTGAAAGACTTGCAGATGGGTCTGCCCCCAGAATGCTGTACCAATCCTTTTTGGGTATCTGTTCAAATGCCATCATCCATTGAAAAAAATGCGGGCCTTCTTAGATCAGCTGAATGGAAATATTGATGACAGTTCATTACAGTCTGTGGGCATCTGGGGAAAAAAAGCACGCAAAGTCTATCTACATATTTGAGGTAAATCATGATTTTAATGAAACATGTATTTTCACTTAAAACGTCGCATGATTTACGCATACAATAAGTATTAAAAAATGTATCAGATGGCTCAGCGTACGCTCTTACACCTTACAGGATACACAACAGCATCAAATAAGCAAACCACTGGATCATAAACCCGAGTATTTTAGGAAAACATGCCTGCTAATTATCCAAGAAGGCATTCTGCTAGTTTTAAGGAGAAACAAGAGCACACGAAGTCCTCACGACACTATTGTGGCTGATATGTTTTGTTAAAATGAATTCATTTAAAAAGATATAACAACGCAACATTAAAATGAGTCGGGGGCGCATTCCCTCTTAACATTCCTAGTCGGCTTCTTCCAGATACTGGGGAGTGAGAGAGACCCCAAAAGCCCCAGCCCCCAAAGACCCACCAAGAGCTCCCCCGAGCCATAAATTAAATCAGTATGCCCCGTCTGCTCAAGACAGGGAATCAGGGATCCCCCGAGCTATGTTCACGGTGCCGTTCCACAGCCCAGCCTGAGGTCGGGTACCCTTCTGCTGTCTTCACGCGACAGAAACTTACCAAACTTGCTAGACCCCCTCCCAGGGCGCAGCCCGCCAGCGGGGTGCACCTGGAGGACCCGCAAGCGGCCGCTTCTTCCGCCGGAAGTTATCGCTCCGGCTTCACCAAGTTTCTAGCCGAGCCGTAGTGGCGGAGACACCCAGAGGAAGCACAGCGCCGCCTTCCTCCACGCGGTCGCTATGGTAACCAGGCGCCGCGATCCGGAGGGTTTTTTTGGGTTTTTTTCCCCCTCTCTCTCTCGCTCCCTTTTTTTTTTTTTTTTTTTTTGGCTGTAAGTATTCAAACTGTGGAGGGGGGTGTGGGAAAGCGTTCTTCCTCTCTTCCTAAGTCCCTGGGTTCGAGACTCCACGAAGATTTCTCCTCTTTCTCTAGTTAGCACCCCAATTGCCCGGGCTGCCTCCTCCTTCCGCGAAGCTTGCTGCACTCCCCTGACCCGGCCTTGCTCCCCATCTTTTTGTGTTTGGTGACCGTCCTTGAGCGGGAAGGTGGGGATGTGTGGGGATAAGAGGTAGGATGGCAGGGCAGAAGGTGGCGGGTATTCGGGTGGGGGAGGTGACCTGGACCCTTTCTCTGTTTAGAATCCTTCGAACGTTCTGCTTGGGGGAAAAAAAAATGGAACAAACCTATGCCAAGTCCCGAATCTTTCTTTTGTACCTTCAGTTATAACAATGTTAATAGATTCACTAAGTTATCTTTCTTTAGAAGTTATCGACCAGTCTTCACAGGTTATCAAGGTCCCTTTCCATTTCCGAGCAGGCTTTTCTTGGACTGTAGCGTGTGGCAGGCAAAGAAAAAAAATAATAATAATAATAAAATAAGGTCTGGTATTGGTCCCAGATTGCAGATGAGGAAACAAGCCATGGTCGAGGCCAAAGAACTAGGAGGACCGACGGGCTCAGGGAGTTTTCCTATTTCCAGGGCAGCTAGACGATCTTTCAAGTTAATAGGGAAAGGCAGAGTAATTGCTCAGCTCTGGGGTACTGGGGTCCCAGCTGATCTTTTCTCTCCTCCTTGCCTCTTTCTTACATTCTTTAGCTCTTTTTTTTTTTTTTTGGTCTGCTTTCTGAGCTGATTACTTGTCGCTCGCCTTGCTTTCTTTACATTGTACCTTACTGTGATAACGGCATCTGACTTTTCTTTTTTTTTGTCTTTTTGATTTTTGAAGCATGATCAATAAATTTCACTTGCAGTGGTTAAGGTAGTTACAGTTGAGATTTACTTTTTTTTTAATTTTTTTAAAATTCTAATTTAAAAAATATTCTTAAAAAGCAGTCAGTGTAAACCCTATCACAGTAAGCTATAAATCTAGTCAATTATTATTAACGATAGTATGAACCACAAAGAATTACTACATGTTACTGGAAAAATTTTTAGTTGAAAGCTATAAGTGTAGATTAGGTTCTTCATAGTATTTTGTCAATGTTTTTAAAAAGGACACAAAAAGCAGTAATTTAGTAATCCCAGAAAGCACTTCTATACTTTTTTTCTCTGTACTCCAAATGCAACATTAGGTGTTGTCCTATTGGAATACTATTGGAATGTTACTCCACATGTACAACTTCTCTATCCCTCAAACTCCTCCTCCTCGCTGTTTCCTTCCTTGTAGAGAGAGAATTCTTAAGTACTCTGTTTTTACAGAAATATCTTACAGCAAAGGTACTTTATTTTGATTTACAATTCGAATAGGGGCGATATGTTTCCTCTTTTTATTCTGAAAAAATCTAATGACAGTACCTCACTTTTCTCATTTAACTTTGTTATATTTGTATTTTTCATTTTGCTTTGGAAATGAAGAGCTAATACCTGCTTTTATACAAATCTCAGTACTCTCTCATTTTATCTCTTGTTTCCATACTTAAAGCATATGTTAGTTTGCAGCTTTGTCTCCAATACTGTCACTGTTCCACCAAAATCAATAATTCATTTATGTCAGTGAGGGCTTATTTACATTTTCCTTGTTGACTTTAAAATGTCTTTTTTGGTTTTTGGTTTGTCTGACTTATAATACAAACAAAATCTGCATATTACATTTGACTGCTCTGTTTTAAATATCTTTGAAGTTATAGTAATTTCCCTTCTCAGTACCACCTTGATTTTTTTTTCTTTTCCTGACATTGGAGTAACTAAAAAATTTGATCAGTTGTTTCACAATCTGAATTTGCTCATTCATTGTCCTTTACTTTTCATTTATTTCAAGCAGTGCTGTCCAATAGATATATAATGTAAACCACAAATGTAAGGCACTTAAGAAATTCTTAATTCCTCAGTGGTCACATTATAGAAGTAAAAATAAAGTAGTGAAATAAATTTTAATAATACATTTTATTTAACCAAATACAATATCAGGATATCACTTAAAATGAAATCAATATAAATATTATTGAGATATTTTACATTATTTTTTCATAATAAGTTCAGGGCCAGATAGAGGGTGCATTCCTTGCACTTCGCTAACCCCAGGTTTGATCCTCTACAACACATATGACTCTCCAAGCCTCACCTGGAGTGATTCCTGAGCGCAGAGCCAGGAGTAAACCCTAAACACATCCAAGTGTGGACCCAAAATAAAACCTAAGAAAAATAAAACAAAACATAATAACCATATCAACCAAATAATTCTATATTAAACAAGTTTAGAGCATAAAGTACTTATCCCTTAAATGCATTCAGTTACCTTCCCACTCTGATCTGTAGTTTTCTGGTAACCTATTACTTTTATGCACTAAACGTTAAAATACTTGGATCTTCGTATTTCTTTAATAAATTTATTCAAATGCTTTCACTTGTATATGCCAAGTACTTTTTGCTTTAAGATCCATCTCTTCTATTATAGCTTTTGTGATATTCAGTCTAATTTCTGTAGAAATTAGTTTCTGAACTGGAGAAATTTAACCAATTTATAAATTTAGAAATACAGTGGGTAGGGTGCTTATCTTCCATGCAACTGAACAGAGTTGGATTCTAGGTACCCCATCTGGTCCTCTGAGCCTTGCCAGAAGTCATCCCTGAGCCCAGAGCCAGAGTAAGCCCTGAGAACAGGTAGGTATGGCCCCAAAAGCAGAATTACTTTCTCCTTCCAACATTTATGAAAAAAAAAAAGTATGTACTCATTTGCACGCCTGGTATCTTGCAGACCCATGGTATATACTCTGGACCTGTGCTTTCATTCTGTATTTTTTATATGCTCCCTGTGAATAGAAACACTTCTGTTATCGACAGCAGAACCCATCCATATAATAGAGCTGGTGGAGGCCGAAAGTTGAAAGGGAGGGGCGGTAAGGTCCTTAGCTGAAGGAAGAGGGTACAATAGTGATGGGATGGTGTTGGAGCTATGTGCATGAGAAACCAGCATTAATGGTATTGTAAATCACAATGTCAATTAAAAAAAAAAGATACACTTACCAGAAAATTAGGTCCCAGCTAATTGCAGTGTCTGAGTTCTAATGATATGTATCTATAATACATTTGTTTTTTGTATGTAAGAGATGATTTGTCCATATTTTGTAAAACTGATGCAGGATAAATATAAACTAAGTATAGGGAGTAAGAGCATGAACTCTGGAATCAGATTGCATACATTTGTTTTTCTCTTGTTTTGTTTTTGCAGAAGTTAGGTTTGGGATCACTCCCTTCAGTGCTGTGTTTGGATGTCACTCCTGACAGTGCCTTCATTTACAGTTCTGATTATCAAGCTCTGGTTGGCTTCATGCAAGGCAAGTGTCTTATCTCACATACCAACTTTCCTTCCTGAACACTGCATAAATTTGAGTCAAACTTTTGACTCTGCCTTTTATTGGCCATGGGCTAGAGCGATAGCACAGCGGTAGGGCATTTGCCTTGCTCGCAGCCAGCCGGGCCAAGCCGGGTTCGATTCCTCCGCCCCTCCCGAAGAGCCCAGCAAGCTACCGAGAGTATCTCGCCCGCGTGGCAAAGCCTGGCAAGCTACTTGTGATGTATTCAATATGCCAAACACAGTAATAACAAGTCTCACAATGGAGACGCTACTGGGCCTTCTCTAGCAAGTTTATGAACAACGGGAGGGCAGTGTGTTTACAGTGTGTTTTTTGGCCATATTAACTTGTTTAAATTCATTAATCTTGTGCTTTGGTTTCTTCCTTTGTAATGTAAAAATAATAAGATCTATCTCATAAGTTTGTTGTGAGGATTAAATGTGATAATAGCACTTGAAAGTATTACTACATAAAGAATAGCTGTTCTCCAATCTTTACAATAGCCAGAATCTGGAAAAAACCTGAGTGCCCGAGAACAGATGACTGATTAAATAAACTTTGGTACATTTACACAATGGAGTACTATGTAGCTGTTAGAAAAGATGAAGTCATGAAATTTACATACAAGTGGTATTACATGGAAAGTATCATGTTAAGTGAAATGAGTCAGAAAGAGAGGGATAGACATAAAACGATTGCATTCATCTGGGGAACATCAAGTAACAAAATAGGAGACTAACATCCAAGAATGGCCGAGATTAGTACCAAGAATTTTGCTCCATGGCTTGGAGACCAGCTACACATGCTAGGGGAAAAGGCAGCTCAGATAGAGAAGGGAGCACCAAATAAAGGGTGTTGGGAGGATCCTCCCAGGATGGGAGAAGTATGCTGAAAGTAGATTATAGACCAAACATGATTGCCACTCAATGCCTCGTTTGCAAACCACAACACCCAAAAGGAGAGAGAGAGAGAGAGAGAGAGAGAGAGAGAGAGAGAGAGAGAGAGAGAGAGAGAGAGAGAGAGAGAATAAAAGGGAATGCCCTGCCACAGAGGCAGGGTGGGATTGGGATGGGGGGATGGGGGGTGGGAGGGATACTGGGATCCATGGTGGTGGAAAATGGGCACTGGTGGAGGGATGGGTACTTGATCATTGTATAACTGAAACCCAAGCACAAGTTTGTAAGTCTACAACTGTGTCTCATGGTGTTTCACTAAGAAAGAAAAGAAAGAAAGAAAGAAAGAAAGAAAGAAAGAAAGAAAGAAAGAAAGGAAAGAAAGAGAAAATTTAATAAGAAAAGCTGCTGTCAACTGTTATATTTATTGTTCAGTTGATCAGTTTTTATTATATTTAAACAATGAAAAATTTATA